AAGCACATGATCTGTATTCACTTACTTGCAGCTTCATATCAGAAAAAACCTTTTAACGCATGTCATCAGCAGCGTTATACGGCAAGGAAATTCCACGAACAATTTCCATGTGTCACTAATTCATCCGTGATCGATGAGCGTATGAAAAGCACTTATGTATGGAAGATAATTGTATTAAAAAGGCTTTTCTGATATGAAGCGTAACAGGTACGTGATTTCTTACCTAACTTTTCTGGCAAATTAATGTCTCTTTTTTATAGCAATATTTCAAAGTAATTGAACAAGTTACATGATGGTCCCTGTTCCACTGTCAAAACTGAACGAGATTTTAATGACACCCAGCTCGTTGTTAGTATGATTTCCGAGAGAAGTTGATTCTTTTCACGCCAGTGTGCCTTCTATGCTTAATTTTAGAGAATTGGTGATATGAATCGGCTGTAAGATAAGCTCCATTAAAGTGGAAACCATTGTGAAATTATCTAATTGTGTCATTATGACAAAATAAACCTTGTTAAAATGTAGCCTAAAGCATTTAACTCGGGTTATATGGTTTAGATGAAATATTGAGTAAACATTTTGGGCTTTCATATTTTCTGTTAGCAGGAAGAGATAGGATATACAAAGGCTAGATTTATTTGTCCCAACATCGATGTGCACGGCTGATGCGAAAAGCTTACTGAACAAATGTATTTGTCATTGGGATAATCAGTTGATAAAATTATCATGGAACCTTAGTAAAGTTTTAAATAATCACATACAGGCATATAAATCACGATGTCTTCTTTAAATATGCGACAAATGATATTCGGAATGTTTCGATCTATTGGCATACGCCTAGTATATTTAGGATATTCATACAAAACAAAATATCGTGATTTTAAATAATAAACAGCCGTAACGTGTGACATTAAAACAATGATAAAACCTGTATATCTACAATGCAGCGTGGACTAGATAAATAATTAAATTAAGAAAGACGATGTCCCCGTTATAATCATTGTCATTTCATGAAAAAAAATGGCATGCCAGTTGTCTTATTAACACAATGTTATCTGCATTTCATTGGTGTGACACGATAATCTCATTAGTTGCTCTGCTTCAGCCCTCAGTCTGAGATTGATTAACAACACGCATAATGACGTAAAGATTTTATATTCTATGAATATTTTAATAGTGACAACACAATATTACAACGAATTTTCTGCATAAATGTAAATTTGGCGAAACGAATAATACGACCAGGTGTTCCGGTGGATAATGCTGCCTCAGATTCATCAGATTCATCAACAATATTCTTCATGTTAAGCAATGCCAGCTTCTCAAAAGTAAGAATGAGGTAAACTAGAACAGGACTTCAATGAAGACTGACGGGCACCATAATCGTTTGCGACATGTAAACACCAAAGATTGGGAATGAAGTGTCTCCTATTCAAATGTAAAATTAACGATAGGGAAATTGACCGCTTGGTAGAAAACTATTGCTGTGGGTTTCGTTGTAGGAAATGATCAAAGTAAATGGTTGTTATAGAAGTGTTTGTCGTGTCCTTTATTTCCTATTCTGGTGAAAATATATGATGGACATGATCAATAAATCTCTTGTTATTTAAAGGCTAAACGTTATCAATATATTTAAAAGTGAAATTGAAGGACTTTGCAAAGTCTACCTGTTTTGGTAAGCTCTTCTATAAGTTCAGCCCCGTAAAAACAGTCGAGGGGCAAAGCTTGAGTGCATAATTATCCCAGTAGTCTGTTAGACAACCAGCAAACCCGTCGAAGATGATGTCAAGTAAAAATTCGACCGAAAGCAGTTTCTTTCAATATACTCATCAGGAAATCAATACAAAAACACTCTTACGCTTTTAAACTATTTCTACTTATTTTGTCAATCTCTCACTTGTATCTACAGAAAATAGAAAATACAGAAAATTAAAAAAAAAAAAAACGAAAACAAAAAATCATAATCTAAACATACCCTGACAATATCGCATGCTTAAAGTATAGGCTAGTTTCATGTTTCTTGTGCCCTTCCAGAAAATCTGGTCAGCTTCATATGTTTTGCGCCTATGTATGACAAAAGCGGAGATAAACACGATTGTACCAGTTCCCTTTATAAAGTAGAGGTTAATTCGCTATCGAAATGAAAAAAAAAGATGACATTTATTATAACAGAAATGTTTGGCAAATGTGAACATTCTTTATAAGAAAACTTAATTAACACCCTGAATCATGAAGGACGGGGAAATAGGACGTCAACACAAAAATACACATTAATTCCTGACATTACTTATACTACAGATCGGGAACCATTTACTTCATAATGCAGAGCGTGATCATAAAACATTCAATTGAACTTCTCAGCATTAGCCCATAACGACTCTTGAGTTCGAAATCATGACGAGAAACATTTCAAACAAAAAATTAATCCAATTTTTTAACATCCAAAGATTTCACCGCTAAATATCAATATATTACATGTTTAAATATTTATCTATCTTTAGTGCTTGACAGAAAAGAAAAGTGATTTATCAATTCTTGTGTTGAAGCCATCCAAGTGAAGATTAATGTGTTATTTGGTATCAAGGTGTGGTTCGGTGAATGTTTCTGTAAACTAGTAACCAGTTTTACAAAAATATATGTGAATCACGGTTAAGTATTCAGTTTGTCTTAGGCTTTGTTGAACGTCTGTAAATATCAATATGATAACGTTATCAGACTCATCAAAATAATCCAATGCACGTCACAACGTATATAAAATATAAATAATTTAACGATATATATATGACTGTGTCACAAATCAACAGAGTAGTTAGTAAAAAAACATCAATTTTATCAATATATTGACGTTGTATTGCTATCTATGGGGGCTCTCGCCATTGTCGCTATCACACAGTACACATGCATGTGTTAGATCTGCCTACGCTTCTTCTCCAACACTATTTAGGTTACGTTATGTGCAGTGAATGTGATTTATAATCATCAGTTTATCATCCATCTTTCATATCATCATCATCATCATCATCGTCATCATCGTCATCATCATTATCATCATCATCATCGTGATCATCATCATCATCATCATCATCATCATCATCATCATCATCATCATCATCATCATCAATCATCATCATCATCATCATCATCATCATCATCATCATCATCATCATCATCATCATCATCATCGTCAGCATCATCATCATTATATATAAAAAAGCGGAAAAATGACACTGTACATGCATATAAAACGTTATAACTTTGAAAGTATATAAGAAATCGCCAAAAAGTTTTCAACAGGGTTTTATCTGATCTTTACTTAACACAAGCTTAATTGATATGGTTATTGCATCAGAAGTGTCTTGGATAGAGATCAGATTTCACAGACAATGTTAAGCTCATTGTTACGTGTGTATATACCATTGGAAACGATGCATGCATGGCAACGATTCATCATTGATGTGACAAGTTTGCCGAAATTAGCTGGTGAATACCATTCCATATTCTCACAAGCACACGTGACAGACCAGTTAAGGCAAAGGCTGATATTGGAGGCGGCGTGAGCAACGCTGTATCTCATCCTACAAATGTTCTATAGGCGACATATCCGGTGACAATGCCGCCAGGACAGCACATACACATTATTCTGGATCAAGAAGTCGATGACGGCCAGCGGGACGTTACGTTGCTGACAAATGGAAGGGCATGACGCCGGATGACTTCGTCAAGGTATCTGATAACTGAACTGTGCCGTCCACAACCAAAAGTGCTGCTCTGTCACGGGGTGAGATGCCATCCAATGGAAACGTTCACCAACACGACGGTACACTCTAGAACGACCATCGCTGCTCTCAAGATGAAACCTGGACTCATCCGTGAAAAGAACACGTGCCCAGTCCTGCCGCGTGAGGTGTATGTGTCGCCTACACCAAGCTAAAGGTGTTACAGAATGACGTTGCTGGATAACAGGACGTATGACTGTATGTTGTGGACGTAGGCCTCCTTCAAGTAATCGATAACGTACCGTTTGGGGACTTTTCTTCTAAGGCCAGGAATACTTTTAGCTGTCAAAGAAGCAGTTCTGAGTCGTTCGAGAAGATGAACGATCCAGACGTACGTATCCTGGCGATTAGGCATAAGGTGTGGACGCCCTGACGGGAGCCGATCTCTGGTGGTCCCACAAGGCGTATATAGTATTTTGGTGCACACCATCATTGTATGGCAACTTCAGTAAGACTTACACCATCTTCAAATTTGCTTACAGCGCGGCATCTGTCAGTTTCATTCAACCTTGACATGGCGTATCAAAGACGTTTTTCAAACGTTTTGTGTGTTACAAGTATTTACAGTAGCTTTTACACAGGGGTAGGCGACAAATGTGTTTACGATTGACTGCTGGTCGAAAACGAACATGAAAACGAAGACGTGGGTCAGACAGACAAACTGCCTGTGCAATTCATTCACTGACCAGTGTATATGACTGAGAAGCACACTCATCTTACCTGTGTAAAGTTTCACGCTTTAATCAATAAAAATGTCATCATGCACAGTTCTTTTCCCCTAGGGTATATTTATAAATCACCTCTTAACTTTATTAATTCACTAAATCACACTTGTCACATATTTTGCACAGAGAGACAGCACATAGAGCCCTAATTACCTAAAATGAGAGAGAGAGAGAGAGAGAGAGAGAGAGAGAGAGAGAGAGAGAGAGAGAGAGAGAGAGAGAGAGAGAGAGAGAGAGAGAGAGAGAGAGAGAGAGAGAGAGAGAGAGAGAGAGAGAGAGAGAGAGAGAGATATATTAACAAAACAAAGGGAAAGCAAAAGAATTACTAATGAACAACGAGTATTTTCCCAACGGAGTTTATTACGATCTCTTTTTCAGTTTTATTTTAGTTAGTTCAATGTGATGCTACATTCTTTGAGATACTTTAGTACAGATTTTACTAAATGATTTTACATTGTGACCAGACAGAAAGGTTAATAATCACTGTAATTTTCCATTTCAGTGAAATCGCACTGTGATGTATACACAGCCAATCGCCTGAAACCTAACTCAGGAATCATTCACAGGGCAAAGGTCAAGACTATCAAAATAACATTCGTCGTGGTCTCAGGTATGTTTATTAATCACTGAAAGTGCCAAGCATTTATGTCAAATGTATCATTTTAGCATGTTATATTTATCTTACTTTATATGACATGACAAAAGTATGTCCATGACGTAATGTGGACTCATAAGAAAAACAAACCCACACCACTGTTTGTACCCTCGCATAAAACTGTTTATTTCGCCCTAAAGATAAATATTTCATATCTAACACAAATCCTTAGGCTTTTGTTTTTTTCTGTTGGTTAAAGATTAATGTGCGTCAAAAGCTTCAAAGCTTCTTCGGTCTTGGAAGTTAAAAAATTGTTTTCTCGATGTTTTGAAAAAGTCCTCTTTTGATGGTATACTAGACTTACACCTGTAGATAATATGGACTGTCTTATCATAAAAATACAGCAACTTAGCGACAACGTCCATTTTACTTAAAACAATATCTATAATACATTTAATATTTAAATAAGTAAGTATAAAAAGTTCTCCAAATGGGATTCAGATCGGAACATTACCACCTAAGATGAGCGTAATTCCTTGGTATCGAGTAGTAAATTACCAATCTCTCAATTTTTAATAACTTGATACCATTTTCACGTTGGATTCTGGTTCATAGTAAGAATATAGTTGTTTTGAATAATATGTCTTAGTGGGCTTTATCAACGTTCGTATAAGTGTTATTTTCTAGTGATGTCTATTTGTATCGATAGTCATTTAGTTGATAAACCAAATTGGCTGCGAAAATTTATGTTATGCTTTTTCATGTTCAAAACTCTTCCTAACCAAAGCTAAAAACACATTTCTCCATTGGCCATTGAAGTATTGTGAGATTTTTGTCATGTTTTGTAACGTAAGAGATATGTTTAAGTTTCCATTTTTTTTTTTTTTTACATCATCAACAATTTTCAGGGAGGTGTATTTTGTAGATCGAGTGATTTCATCCTTAATACCAAGGAGTTTATTTTCCAGTTTTTCACTTTTTCTTCCTGCCTTGGTTTTATCTAAAATCTTATATAGTAAAAAAAAAGGAAATTTTATTTTCATTTCTTCTGCATTACTATAATTTTCGTAAACAAAAATATAAACTCAGAATTGACTTATTGACTGCTATTTATGAATGCAAGTCATACATCTTATCGAAAAATTTAATGTACGAGTTCAATAAATTCGAGATTTGCCCTATACTATGTATATGTTTTGGATAGAAGCATTGCCACAGTAGAGAAAAATGTCTTTTTCAAAATGTTGTGGTTAATCAATTTCTAATCACTGTCCTTTTAGCAAAATTGATTAGTTTAAGATATAGTTAACAGTAGATGTTGTAAATCCCTTCCGATTCGAATCTTTGATCAAGAGTTTTCAGAGGTAAATCTTCAAATTTTAATTGCTAAAGTAATAATCAAGTGTGTTAAATGTATTTTTTTCAAATTCTAGATCTTCTCGCAGTTTTATTTGTTTTAACCAATGTCAGTGATATCAGAAGATGTCTACGTATATTAACTGTAGTAATATATGAAATCATAAGACATAGAGTCGGACAATAAGAAATTAGCCCACTAAAGAGATGGCTAAAGTTCACACCTGTCCAGGTAAACTGCCTTCGAGATAACTGACCATATTCACTCATATTATAAAATGTTACGTTTTTTTCAACAGATATTGTTAAACTGAATTGTAAAACTCTGATTTTTATAATAATCATTGAAGGTGGTTATATTTGTTTGTGATTTTGAACAAGGATATTGATGCTATCACGGATTAAAATTCGATATGTACCGTAATATTACGGACTAGTAAATGTGTTACGTATATGTAGACTACAACAGATACCTATATAACTATGTTTGCACGGATCTCCGAGTAAAACAGTTCCTACAAAGTCCGTATTAGTACAGAGTGTAATTTGATAAAATCACTAATCCATGACTGTCCCATTGTTCTTGTGGGCTCTCGTGGCTACGACTCGATAAACGCTAAGGGGACGTAACCCAGGGTATCCCGTAGAAATAGCTCCATTTTGGTTTTCTTTTAATATTTCAAATCGTTTCGGATTTGTTTAAAATATTAATATCTCCATAAACAGGGACAGATGTTGAAATGTTCTATAATATTAATCGATGGTTATACACTAGAGGTCAGTATATCTATTCTATTTCGCACCAGTTTGACGGTTTTCTGGTTTCCTTTCTTGATATCTTGTCAGTAACTGTATATATTCCACTCATCAGACGAATAATAAAAAGTGGTTAAGTGCATTTGTAAAATGACCTGTTCTAACAACAGCAAGTGAATAACAGACAAATGGATAGATTTATGGAAAGTTGCAGGATATGTGAATGGGTGAGTTAAGTTGATGTGTTGGTGTGTAGAGGGGTGAATAGATAAGTGGATGGGTGAGTTACGTGGATGTGTGGGTGCGTTGAGTGGATGTATAGATAAGTGGATGGGTGAGTTAAGTGGATGTGTTGTCGCGTTGAGTGGGTGAATAGATAAGTGGATGGGTGAGTCTAGTGGATGTGTTGTCGCGTTGAGTGGATGTATAGATAGGTGGATGGGTGAGTTAAGTGGATGTGTGGGTGCGTTGAGTGGATGTATAGATAAGTGGATGGGTGAGTTAAGTGGATGTGTTGTCGCGTTGAGTGGGTGAATAGATAAGTGGATGGGTGAGTTAAGTGGATGTGTGGGTGCGTTGAGTGGATGTATAGATAAGTGGATGGGTGAGTTAAGTGGATGTGTTGTCGCGTTGATATGAATAGATAAGTGGATGGGTGAGTGTGTGGGTGCGTTGAAGTGGATGTGTGTTGTCGCGTTGAGTGGGTGAATAGATAAGTGGATGGGTGAGTTAAGTGGATGTGTTGTCGCGTTGAGTGAGTGAATAGATAAGTGGATGGGTGAGTTAAGTGAATGTGTTGTCGCGTTCAGTGAGTGAATAGATAAGTGGATGGGTGAGTTAAGTGGATGTGTGGGTGCGTTGAGTGGATGTATAGATAAGTGGATGGGTGAGTTAAGTGGATGTGTTGTCGCGTTGAGTGGGTGAATAGATAAGTGGATGGGTGAGTTAAGTGGATGTGTTGTCGCGTTGAGTGAGTGAATAGATAAGTGGATGGGTGACTTAAGTGGATGTGTTGGTGCGTTGAGTAGACGAATAGATAAGTGGATGGGTGAGTTAAGTGGAATGGGTGAGTTAAGTGGATATGTTGTCGCGTTGAGTGGGTGAATAGATAAGTGGATGGGTGAGTTAAGTGGATGTGTGGGTGCGTTGAGTGGATGTATAGATAAGTGGATGGGTGAGTTAAGTGGATGTGTTGTCGCGTTGAGTGGGTGAATAGATAAGTGTTGATGGGTGATTAAGTGGATGTGTTGTCGCGTTGAGTGGATGTATAGATAAGTGGATGGGTGAGTTAAGTGGATGTGTTGTCGCGTTGAGTGGGTGAATAGATAAGTGGATGGGTGAGTTAAGTGGATGTGTTGGTGCGTTGAGTGGATTTATAGATAAGCGGATGGGTGAGTAGCTAGGCTAGCAAAAGAAAGCAAATTGTAACATTCATTTCTTTAAATCACAAATGAAATTTTTAAAAACTTCATCTTAGGTCCTGTTATCATCAAACTGTTGGTATGCTTACACAATAATCTGAGAGTGGCATTAAAGCATACAGCTGTAAAAGTATGGTCTGTATTGTTCATTACATAGGAGAACTCAAAGAACCATCGAGGGATGCTAAAAGAATATTGTAATACCAAGAACGTATAAAATCTCTATTGGATTAAAACACAAATGACTCATCACATCAAAAGAGATATACAATTTATTGAAAGCTTAAGAGCATGACAAATAAATGACGGTGATTGATTATTGTTTTCTCTTTTCAATTTGTTTTTTGCCTTCTTTCAATTTATGATCAGACAGGATAGCATCAAACAATGTAGACATCTCCTATTGTTTTGTTCTCTTTATGTTTTAACATGCTTGATTACTTCTGTTCACTATTGTAAGCTACATTGCTCTATGGAAATTAAAGGCCTTCAGCAATGATACGCCAAACCAGTCGTGAAAAATAATACGTCTTTCGTTCCAAGCTAATTATGTTTCTGGTACATTAAACAGGATTCTTTTAGATATCAATGATATTCTAGAATAATCAAGTTCAGGTAAAAAGAAGCTTGTAAAAAGGTTTAAAGTTAAAGTTTGAATTTCATATATCATTTTTACTGTCCCGAATACATAAATTTAGATCAACACTAGCTTGAGAACAATGAATCCGGCAATAATAAAGTTCCTTTTATTGGAACAAGAAAGTGAAAACGTTTTATCTGTCATCTATCATTTTTTATTATTATTCTGGTGAACTCAGAGAACTTGTAGAGATAAAGACCTTCTACACATCATTATAATTACGACACTAACACACAAGATCATAATATAGTGTAATTTGTACATGGAATTGGATGTAATGCACTATACCGAATACCATAGGATAAGTGGATAAAACACAAACAAGTGAATATCACCTTTCAATACAATGGAAAAGTGTCAAACAATGAAGTAAACAGCATCATACAGTGTTTCATCCTTCTAGGACTTGGCAGTGATGTTATGAGCCTAAATTATGAAACCTTGGAAGAGAATGAGGAAAAACAAAATTGATTAAAAAAATGTGAATCTTTAGATAGGGGGTCACTTTTCCCAGAACTGAATCAATTTTACTTTTTATATATCTGGTAATTAACATTATTGTATTCTGAACATAAAAAACATAATTTCGATTGGATGCGTGAATTGCTGAATTCAATATTCATATTTCCATTCGTGATTCAAACACAATTCGATGAATGTATGGCAAAATAACAACAAAAGAGATAGTGTAATGAAAATAAGACCAGGTGTTCAACAAGGGTAACAGTTTATTACTTTGTCGATGAAACACGCCGCGTGAACCTAGGCCAATCCAAGTAATGTCACGTTCGCAAATGATAACCTTCCATAACCTGCATCTCTCTTAACTCTTTATTATTAGTTTTCTAATCATAGGTCCGCTTACATATTTACTCGAATCTTATGTGAAGAGTTTGACATGTGATAGACTGACCTTTACACACAGGTCGGGTGGCGTCAATAAAGCTGAAGAATGATATCCCTCAGGAAAACCTGATGTTGCTTTCCTTGTACTTTCTCAAACAGTTAAAATTGAATCTTCTTTTTGTTTAAACATGTATTATAGTTTTGTTTTATTAGGCTTGAGATTGAATAAATCTAATGCGTTGTTAATAAGTACACACATGCTAAATCTGCGTATAAAATAGCTTAACAAGTGTTAAATATGTCTTCAACAAAAACCTAATGTTTTCCTTACCAACCTCACAAAAATAGCACGATATGGCTATTCTATGTTCATCAAGGTGCGGTTGTAGTTATTTTCTGTCTTGAAATTCAGTGCACATCAATTAGTACTAATTAATATCTTCACCTGTCTCTGATACAACATTCGGTGTTAAGACATATCCACTGCCGAGCTAGATCGCAATTAACAACTTTGTAGAAAATCACAACAAAATGACATTATCTCAACTAAATTATAATTCAAATTTTAAATTGAGAAAAATGAGGGTAAATTATCAAAGAAATACAGATTTACACGGAGGTACTTGAAAAACAAATCGAGAATAAGAACAAATTTTCCTGAAGGGATAGCGTTTTGCACTGTATAAACACGAGAAAAGTATATGTTTCAAACGAGAAACAAAATTTTCACAACCACATCGGAAGTAACACGAATGACGTATAGATAAATATGACGTCATTTCATTATTATAGATTAATATTTCTTCGTGTGATTCCTGACTTATATTATATCCATTCCTGTGTCTGTGTGTTAGGATGTGAATGAGGATTTATCTGTTACATATTGGTAATTGTGAGTTACCTCCCTTGTTTGTATTCTGTACAAATATGTTCTTTTCTTTTTTCACGGAACGTTTTCTTTATATAGATTAGTATTCTTCTACTCCGTTTGTCATCCATGGAGAGAATTGATATAGGTTTTGTCTGTCATTCGATCCATTTGACCATAACATCTAACAATAAAATTCATCGAAACGAACAAAAAACAACAAACAAACAAACAAAATATATAAACCTTATCCTTATGATAAGACGCTAATAAATTTATTTTGAAAAAAAAAAACCCCAAACAAACAGATCTGCTTTGATGATAAAGTGTAAATGAGGATTTAATTTTTTCCTCTGACTCATCAATAAAGAATTAAGCATTACAACAAATATACAAATGTTCGATCAGTCAGTTAAAACCTATTGTTTTAACTTTTCCGTCTTACTTCATTGAATTACTTTTTTTATGGGGATATGTGTTAAAGTTGAAAGAAGCTACTTCTTACTTGTACGACACGTCAGTGACCAAAGGACAGTCGAGGATAACCAACGCGGTTATTCTAAACTATTTCTACACCTTTTTACAGTTATATCTTAATGTATTAATTGATACATAAAATGTTGAAAAAAAAACTTCCAATACTTTGTTTTAATCGAGTTTTCCTTTTCTATTTTCAGTTTTCCTTGTTTCCTGGGGACCATTTACGATCTACACAATATTGATGGTATATCACGTGATCAACTTGAATGGATCATTTTTCATCTTTATGACACTTGCACCACTCAACAGTGTGGCTAATCCCATAGTTTACCTCTTTTTTAACCACCGACTTTTAAGAAAAGGAAAGCAGCCACGAGATACAAATGGTATCAGTATTAAAGCAACATTCATCACACATATCCGACGTGACTCGGAATGGTCAAAAACAATGCAGATGTCTCGGTTGAACTGACTGTCAATCAATTTTCTCAAATATTGTTTTACCTCGATTTCCCGTAAATGCTTTAATTTGTTTGAGTATTGATTAATGTTTTAAAAATTGTCATCGCTCTATTACATGTTAAAGTCGTTTGAAATGATTCCGATTTTCCATGATGTCATCATCCTTGTATTAATGTTTTTGAGAACATTGTACACGTATTTGATTGAATTATAAATTTGATATATCTTAGTTTAACATGTATGCCTTATTTATTGACATGAATTCATCATTTGTATCACTTGCTCAATCATAAAGGACGTTGTATGAATTAGCTTCATGTACTTTTCTGTTGTCTCCGCCATATCGGTGTTCTTAAAATATATTCTAGAAACCGATGTATAATTAAATGTATCAACATGTAACATCTGGAAAATACCAATATGGAAACAGAATCATGATTTAAATTCAAATTCCATAAAACTAGAGCAAAATATGAATAAAAGAAAAATTTACACGGAGACATCTGAAGAGTACAACAAGAATAAGTGTGGTGTCTCAAATCTTTTATTCGTTCATTGAAGTTTTCATTGCGGTCAGTATCGCCAAACTCTGGTACATTGGTGCGTCACATCACAGAACCTCCGGAGAGGGTAAGAAATCACTGGTTAGCACTAGATCGAAATGACACATGAAGATAATTGAGTAAAACAGCTCCTAGCTGTGCTGCAAAACACATGTAAACAAGCTGGAGATCACAACAAGTCCGATAACTCTTGCCGAACTTTAAAGATGCGCGTTCCGTAATACAGCAGAAAATATTTTTTATAACATTACACTCCCCTCCTGGCGTGTGAAACACGTCACTAGTATATTGTCATACTATTGTATCTATTAATTCACAAATATGATGAACATGTCTTTCGATAAACACAACCACAATAAAATTCAAATGTTGCTCGCTCGTATCACTGATCTTGCATAATCCATGTTGAGAGATCAATGAAACACCTCACTCTGTGGAAATTAGTGGTACCAACTGGGTAATCGGCCTTATGTAGGTTGTTCTTACACCATCACGACACACGGCTACTTCGACTTTGCGAACCTTGCCGTCATCACTTAGAAATGTTCTTTGCACAAAAGCCAGAGGCCACTCAACACGAGGGCTCTGATCAACCCGCATCAATGCTATGTCCCCCATTTGGAAGTTCGGAAGTCCCTGATGCCATTTAGGTCTCACCTGCAAACCGACAAGGTACTCTTTTTCCCAACTATCCCAGAAGTTGTTGGCAAGATTTTGAACCTGTTTCCATTGGATCCTGTAAGAATCCTTCAACTTGACATCCGTGAGTTGACATGTGGGTAATTCTGGTGATTTTTGTGTCAACAACATGGAAGGTGAGAGTACATGCGGATCCTCTGGATCCGTTGAAACAGCGACAATGGGTCTAGAGTTTATGATAGCTGTGACTTCTGCCATGAGTGTTGTCAGTACCTCGTGCGTGAGCTCCTTTCATTTCACATCGAGTAACATGGAGTCAAGTATTCTGTGCGAAATACCAATCATCCTCTCCCAGATGCAACCCATATGTGAAGCATGAGGTGAGTTGAACCGCCAAACAGTGCCGCTGTTGACAAGATGATTAGACATCTCCATGTCTTTGACGTTGATAGATTGGATTCCGACAGCATCGGTGGATCCGACGAAATTTGTCCCCGTCCGACCGAAAAACACTGACAGGTCCGCGAATCGAATAGAACCTGCGAAGGGCATTGATAAACGAGGACGACGACATATCTTCAATGACCTCGATATGTACCGCCCGTATGACTAGGCATGTAAATAGCGCAGCCCATCTTTTCTGCTGGGAATTGGCCCCTCTGGTTCGACGAAAGGAGATATACCATGGTCCAAAAATGTCCACTCCAACATATGTAAATGGAGGCGAAGGAGTGAGGCGATCTGCTGGCAGATCAGCCATGAGCTGAACAGCGGTCTTTCCACGTAAACGAAGACAACGAACGCACTTCTGGATGAGAGATGAGATTAACCTCTTGGACCCGGTGATCCAGAAACCGGCCGCAGTGAAGTGTCGACCTTGATGATGAACCTTGCCATGGAAGTGAAGAACGATCAACTTCGCTGTATGGAGTTTGCCAGGAAGAATAACTGGGTTCTTCTCCAATGAATGGTATCCAGATTTATTCAGTCGACCTCCTACCCTCAAAATCCCTTCATCGTCTAAGTAAGGTGAAAGTGAAGAAATGTGACTGTCTTTAGGAATAGGTTTTGAATTTTGAAGGTTCTGGATTTCCTTTGGGAAAGCCTCTCTCTAAGTATGACTCATTTTGCTCTCTCCAGATTCGGAAGTTTTCCAGTTCCCGCGCTCCCCTCCTTGGAATCGAAACTCCCCACCTTAGTTTTGAAACGCTGAACAAACGAGAGCAGATTCCCTATGGCACAGGTAATGGATGTCCAGCCAGAAAACCTCTGGAATCTCTCTGAACCAAGACTATCGTGGCTGGTAGAAGTCGACGACTTAAGCGCGACAACATTCCGAACTTCGGCGTCTGAGGACTGATAAGAGGAAAATCCTATTTGCCAAGGATTTCACAGTCAAGAAGAAGTGAAGGGCCCCTCAACCAAGAATTTTGATCAAGTTGACATGCATCACTACATCTGGTTCCGATATACGCCGGATTCATGTTGGTAGGAACATGTTGCCATTGTGTTGGTTTGCTGACGTTCAAAATTCTGTCAATGCGGTTGGCCACATACGTGTAGAAGCGACGAACTCTCTTATTTATGTAGCCGAGGACGACATTACTATCAGAGTGGTAACGGATATCTGCTGGGTTGACATCTAATTGATCAGCGATGATCTGTCCAAGCTCTGTAGCAAGGACAGCGGAACAAAGTTCTAATCGTCGAATAGTATGCCCATGATGAGGGGCTACTTTGGCCTTTCCTAGAACAAAGCACACGTGAGAGTTTCCATCGTCTTCCGTGATCTTAAAATACGCTACTGCTGCAATGGCGTCCTTGGACGCGTCACAAAATATATGCAGACGTTGTTTCATTCCTTGATGAAGTCGTACCTCATAGTATGGCCTACGGACCTTACAGTAGTTTAACTCCTTCAGGGACCTTTTCCACTATTCCCAGTCACGTCGACTGTCTTCGGGAAGCGGATCATCCCAACCCACTGTTGATGAAATGAGATCCCTAAAGAGCAGCTTCCTTTTGAGGACAACAGGAGCTGCAAAGCCGAGTGGATCATATAGACCGTTTACCGTTGCTGAGATTCCACGTCTGGTATATGGCTTATCCTCAAGATGTGAATTGAATGTAAAGAAGTCCCCTGCCAGGTTCCAGGAGAGACCTAGACTTCTCTGTACAGGTGGGGAGTCAACGCTCAGGTTCAAGTTCTTGATATCTCCCGCAAGATCGTCTGGGCCGAAAGCCTCAAGCACATCCCTCCTGTTGGATGCAACTTTGTGAAATCTTATATTACCATTTGTTCGTAATGTATGCTGAGTGCGTTTCATCAAGGATGCAGCTGTAACGGCGTCATAAGTCGACGTCAGACCATCATCGACATAAAGTTACGATGAACAAATTCCGTCACATCAGCTTCCGCTCCCTCGACAGCTTGTCTGAGACCATAAGTGGCCACTGCAGGTGATGGCGAATTCCCAAAGACATGTGCTGTCATACGGTATTCGATCAGCTGTTTTGACGTGTTATTGTCTTCATGCCAGAAGAACCGAAGAAAATTCCGATGTGATTTATCTACCTTGAAACAGTAGAACATTTGCTCGACGTCACCTGTAATGGCTACAGGCTTAGTGCGGAACCTCAAAAGTACACCAAGTAAACTGTTCACCAAGTCTGGCCCTGCCATAAGTACGCTGTTGAGCAGATGAGTCAAATACTGCTCTTATCTTATCAGGATTTTTGGGGTAGTATATGCCGAAGAGAGGAAGGTACCAACGTTCTTCACCATCCTTCAGAGGAGGAGCAACTTCGGCATGCCAATTGTTCAATATCTTGGCCATAAACTCATGTGAGCACGCTTTACAGCGTCTCTGTGAAGGCTCCTGTCCAAGGACATTGCTCTTTGTAAGGCCTGAGATCTGTTGTCGGGAAGTCTAGGTCGATCTGGCTTGAACGGAAGGGGCGCTGACCAGTTTCCCTCTGAATTCTTTTTCATGCAGGAATCCATTATATGAAGAAACTCCTTGTCCTCCACTGATAAGCCTGGCACATCATCGTTTGGTCCTTTGAGGTAGACGGGGAAACAGGGCTCTGGGCTATCCGCCTTTACCTCAAAGCAATTAGGACAGGGCTCCATCAAGGAAGGACGTCCATTTCTCAGGGTGTAAGTCTTGTTGCTAGTGACGAAAGGTGTCTGATGAGCACTTCCAAGACAGACCAATAATTACCCATCCAAGTTTGAGTCTTTGCCCATAAGGCCCATCAGGTGGATCAATCTTCTGGTCTTCCACATGGTGTGCAGTGGGGAGGTCTCGCCCTATGAGCATCATAATATCGGCTTTAGGATATAATGCAGGAAGGTAATCTGCTATCTCACGTAAATGGGGGTGATGAAAGGCAGCCTCCGGAGTCGGTATCTCATCCCGAGCATCTGGTATCATGTCTCACTCAATCAAATCTGGTAGGTCAAGAGCCGCTGTGCCATCAACAACATATCCTCTTGCTTTTCGTCCTGAAGCTGAAATGTAGCCTGAGCATGAGGATAGTGTATACTCGGTGTGGTTGCCTTCTTCACCAAAGTAGTCAAAGAAACTAGTCCTAGCAAGTGTTTGGTTAGTCTGATCATCAATGATGGCATAGAGTCTGAGAGCTTGGTCTGACTGGCCAGTAGGGTACACCTTCACAAGGACAGTCTTCGCGCAGGATTTACTCATGCCCAAGGGATTCTTGCACACCTGTGTACATGTTGAATTAACAGGATTTGTAGGAGTTGTATTAGCTTGTTCCTTATCTGGAACTGATGACTTGCTGAGAGGAGTTGTAATGTGTAGAGCTGACGGATGTCGGTTACTGTTGCAAATTTCACATTTCATGGCTACATCACAATCCTTGGCCAAGTGTTTTCCAGGGCCACAGCACCTAAAGCAGAGAGAGTTCTCACGAAGAAACTTCTTCCTTTCCTCAATAGGCTTCGATCTGAAACCTCTACATTTGTTGAGCGTGTGTTTTGTCTTATGTAAAGGACGGGACAGGGCAGGCTCTGATGTTTTTTTTTCACCTCAGTTTTTCTTGCAGACACCAAAGCCTTGGGAGGTCTGTTTCCTGTTTTGACAGGTTTTGACATAGTGGTAGACGCATCTGGCTGGTCATATTTGAACCCAGGGTCATTTCTCGCCCTTGCAATGTCGCGCAGGAATTCTATGTAAACAGTGAAAGGAGGGTATGACGCACCATGGTTTTTCTTGTACTTGATACCATGTGTAGTCCACTTTTGCTGTATACTAACAGGTAACTTGGCCACTATAGGGTTTACTCCAGAAGATGAGTCATAGTATGCCAACAAGGTAGAGTATTGTTTGTCTGCTTTCCTAGCAGCAATCTCGGATACAAGGTCAACAAGTTCAAACAATCGACTATTGTCTTTGTTCGAAATATTGGGGAAAGCAGCGACATGGGCTTTCAGACAAGCCTCCACCATCTCTGGACCAGCATAACGATCCTCTAATCTTTCCCAGATTCTTGCCACCCCTACCTTTGGGTCCTCAGGGTATACAGATCTTGTATTCAGGGCTTGCCTGCTGGAATCTGCACCCAGCCATTTTACCAGGAGGTCCATTTCCGCTGTAGCAGAAGCTCCAAGCTCTGTTATAATACCTCTGAAACTAGATTTCCATACGGCATAGGTCTCTGGGCAGTCTGTGAACTTAGTAAGTCTAGACAGGAGTAAATCCTTTTTCAAGAGGTACTTTGAGAACTCAGCACATATATCAAAGTGATGGTTTGTAGGTGGTGGGTGAAATTCTTGCGCATCCGGGCTCAAAGCATTTGTCGTTGGTGAGGTAATTGCACATGGTATATTGTTGGTTGAAACGACTAGTGATATGTCTAACAATGGCAATTGACCCGGAGTGGACGACATTTGTTGACTTTGTTTCGAAGGCTGTGGCATGCGTGGTTCGGGGTTTTCAAGCAACGTATTGGCATTGGAGGTACATGTAGGTAACTCAAAATGAGGTAAGTATCCTCGGGAGGATTGTAACAAAGTGGGTGAGCAGTCAAACCTGACCTGAGTTAAAGGTGTATGGCTATAACACCCTGATGCTTCATCGATACATGACTCAGATTCCTTGTGAGACGACACGCTACTCCCTCTGACAAACTTCCTTACTGGTTCAGGTTCTGAGGAGAGATTAAGCCTCAAGTTCTGTTCCTCCACAAATCGTGTCACTCTAGTTGACTCATACGACAAACTGCTGTCATCACTGTCACTTTGTTGTTCTATCATAGTTCTCAGCTTGGCCTCAGCTTCCTTAACTTCCCTTTTTAGCGCCAATACATCAAGTTCCGCTTGGAGCACAGCTTGTTGTTTTTTAATTGAAGCCTCTTCCTCTGCGAGCTTTAGTCGCTCCCTCTTAATCTCGGTGTCAGCCCTCTGTTGTTTAACCATGGACGTTGTAGATGAGGTTGAGGTCCTTAACCTATGTTTTGATGATACATGTGTGTTCACAGATCCCTGTGTTGATATCATAGACTTATGTTTTGATGACACATGTGTGTTAACAGACCCTTGTGCTGATAAAGTTGGTTTACTTTCTGCTAATTCAGCGTTGATCATTGATAAGGCCCTTTGGTACTTATCTGTCAAAACATTTAGGATAAGTAACTGTGATGAGTATTACCTGCTACTCTGATTACATGGGTTTCTGGACTGGAAGCATATGAACTCTGTCGAGACCTTTTTATAATCTGCGAAGGTGCTGGTGAGGTCATCCTTAATGTTGCTGATGTCGGCCAGTGGGCTGGTGGCTGCGTTAAACAACGCAGATAATACTGATTCTAGATTTTTTCGTTTGTTTGACATGTTTCTATGATATTTAAGAACAGCATGCTCAAATTGTTCCATACCTTTGGTGCTTTTCGTCCGGGGACGGGTGCCTGTGACTGATGACGTCATTTGCATGCAGGTGGTTGATTTCTTACTCTGGTGTCTCAAATCTTTTATTCGTTCATTGAAGTTTTCATTGCGGTCAGTATCACCAAACTCTGGTACATTGGTGCGTCACATCACAGAACCTCCGGAGAGGGTAAGAAATCACTGGTGAGCACTAGATCTAAATGACACATGAAGATAATTGAGTAAAACGGCTCCTAGCTGTACTGCAAAACACATGTAAACAAACTGGAGATCACAACAAGTCCGATAACTCTTGCCGAACTTTAAAGATGCGCGTTCCGTAATACAGCAGAAAATATTTTTTTATAACATCACAATAAGACCAGGTGCCCGGAAGGGTAAGCGTCTTCTTCTTCATTGCAACTCCCGCCATGTAAACCTTGGTTAAACCAATTAATTAATGTCATGTTCTCAAATGAGAACAACGTATACAACAACAGAACCAACAGACAAAGTGCTGATGATCAGACACGTCCAACTTCATATCTCACAAAGAAATAAAAACACGTTTACGCTTTCCATTCAGGCCTACAAATCTTTGTCGATCCAAATAGGTGATCAGTAGATAAATTTTAATTATAATTTTAGTTACTGCATAAAAGAGATTACCAAATGAAAACTTGAAGTATGAATATTTTTATCCTGCAAATGTGCATTTATGTTCGCAGAAAGGGACAGTCTCTACACATACATGCCCATAGGCCATATCCATTTCCTGATTCTACTATTAGAACATGAAATATACCCGTATTATTTATTTTTCTAACATATTAATGTTATATTAAAATATTGATTTAAGATATTCATAGAAATGAAAATTTTTTTTCTATGGTTTGTTGTGTCTATTTTAACATTTATTGATGGCGCTGCTTTAAAGGAGATCAAATGTTTTAATAAATCGACCATTTGACGTGCAATAGAACAGTGTAATTGTGTAATTTTTCCGGTCGTTCAGAATTAAATGATTACGAAATTGATACCAATTTTACAGTATCAAATATTTTTCCGTCTAAAAGTTTCACGTACAGCAAACAAAATTTTGAAGTTTTTGAATGAATTTCCATAACATAAACCTTGATATCAAAGTTGGATATTCTCGATATAGAAGACACTTAGATTACAGAACGATTTAGTATCAATATCATCAGCATCAGCCGTGTTATATCTTAAATCATTATCATTACATTCATAACGGCCCGTCAACACATAAAATGTCATTAGGGCCATCAACCGGTGAAAACGGAAATAACATCAAACAAACTAAAAGGTAAAAGACAAATGCTGAAAATCTTAAATTGCTATATTATCACAAAGGATTAAAATGTTCAGTCATAATCCGTAATAAGGACAAACATCTTTCAGATAACCTAGACATTA